TGCTCGCGCGTCCAACGGGACAGCATACCCACCAGGCGCCTGCGGAGGGTGCGTAGGCAATCCCGCGATGCTCGCGTTTTTTCCGGTCTTTGGCGACAACACAACTTTTGGCTACACGGACGTGGAATTTAGGGAACCGTTTACACCCGCTTTTCGTGCAAGTCGGAACACACCTATAAGGAACTCCCACGGCCCGCTTTCACCGTAAGTCGAACCCTAGGTCTGGAGCCGAGTCTCCTTACCTACCGCGACGCGGTGAAACCTGGTCGATAACCAACGCCGCAGGAACGAGAGGAACAAACAAGCCCAGAGTATTCGAACCTGCGATCTCTGATTGACACGGGGCTGACGTAACCACTTCGTCGCCGGCAGTCTACAAAGGGGGGTGGTATGAGACGCGGAGACGCGTCGACTCAGAGTCAGTCGCTCGCGTCAGTGCCCCAGTAGTAGCGCCAAACGCATCAAATGCGCTACAATCCGCGTGGGAAATCACACAAAAGGCGACACATACGCCTTTAAAGCGGATCACAACATTTGATGCGCAACATGATATGGATTTAGTGCGAACTGCGCGCATTTAATGCGTCACCAATGTATCACCTTTAATGTGCATTTCTATGCATATTGACGCGCATTTGATGCCTTTGGCTCTTGGTATGTGCATGAGAAACTGGAAGGTCAGTGGTTCGAATCTCAGTCAAATCGATATTTTCTCTGGCCAAAAACTTTTGAGTGAAAATGAACACAGCCGCGTTTCACCATTCCCTCTTTCGTAGAGTTCCGCAGGTTCGAATACTCTAAGCTACATAAGGGTTGTTGTCCGAATGGGACGGGCCTTATGCGGCCTCCTGTACAGTGCCGATCAGGCAGTGCGCATTAGATGCGCCTACGTGGTAACACATTTTAGTCGCATTAGAGGTACGTACATTCCATATGCATTTCCACATTAAATGCGCACTTATGCGCGTAACAAACATTAACCGCGTAAAAATGTGTTACCTTTTTGCGCATTTCAGTGCGCATTGCCGCACTTAATGCACATCAATTAATGTGCAAAGGCGCTTGCGAACCGCTCCGCCTGAATTTGGTTACCCTCCTGTGTCGTTCCTGTCCCGTTCGCTGGAAATGGGCCGTCGGGTCTCTTATGGACCTTCGACGAAGGCTTGGTGAAATAGGAGATTAAAGTTGAACTTAAAATGTTGTGGCCTGCGAAATATTTTTTTTTCTGCGTTCGGTAGCCGCAAGTGAAACGTCCGTATTTGTGGCCACAAAATTGTGGTTACAATGCACAATGCGGCCGGGGACCCCGGGCCCCATTTAGTGTAGATGCGTCCAGGCCCTTTCGGCTTGTCAGGGATTATGTGCAGAACAGGTCCTTGCCTTCTGCTGACAGCCTGAAGGCTTCGGATTTCATATTACCCGAAAAAGGATGTTCTATAGTCAGGTCGGAATAAGCCACAATTTTGTGGCCACAAATAGGGACGTGCAAGACAAGAGAAGAGAGTAGCGGATGGTAGCAGCGGAGCGGGTCTCAGCCGGCGTTTGAATAATGCGCGGCTCTACGCGCTGCTTTGCAAACAGTTCTGAGAAGAGGTTGGCACGAAACTGATCAAGGAATAGTTCTCATTCTGCAAGGGATCCAGAAAAACAGATTTAAAACATATTGTAATTTTACATAAATGCGAAATATCACTTTTTTTTTAAAGACGCCAGTTCACGAAATGGAAAGTAAAAGGCTGGGGATGTTATGACGTGAGAAGTGAATGTGAATGAGAGGTGGTTTTTAGCCTCGCACTAGGGTTCTAGTGTGTTTCACCAGACTTTTGACCAAGTTCCCCCACCCTCTCCCCTTCCCCTCCGGTTCACCGCTGACGTACATGTTTATTTACAGCTGCTAGACTAGTTGACGTTAAAACTATTGTCGTCTGATTACAAAGAAAGGTCATTTTATATAAATTTTAGGTATGTAATGATCGACTTTATCGGACTGTAAAATATGAATACGATTGGTGGCGTTAGAATTTTGAAGGTTCTCTAGTCAAATGCTGTCAGGTAAAAATTCCACTTGACTTATGTTTATTAACTCTTACCTCACTCCATTACCTTCTGCTTCCTTTGTATGAACTTTCGTGTTTTTATCTCTAGTCTGTGTTTGATTTAGATTTTGTAGGATTCGTTATCAGCAACTGGGTTGCATCCAGAGAGAAGTTGAGAAACCAGTGTCATAGAACTTTATTGCTATGGCTCAACAAGAGAATGTCAGTGCTAAAGACCCAAAAAGTATTGAAATACCTTGCACACAAGAGGCTTTTAGAAATCTGAGGAATGCAAAACGATTTGCCATAGATATTGGTAAGTTTGTGGTCCATAAAATTTTGTGTGGATCTAGTTGTAAGGTTCCTTTATTCATTTAGACTATCCATAGGCTGGACAATCGTAAGGAACGAAAATGGGTGAAACTGGGGAGGAAAAACGTTCCAAAAGTATTAATTATTAAATCATAAAATACTCTATATGGTTTATGTGTTGGCTTTTCAGGTATATCTCTGACAAAAATTGCCTACTATTCAACGGTGTCACATCGACGAGTACTTTATGATTCAGAGAGAGAAGATGGCAAATCTAGAGTTTCAGACAGAAACTCATTTGTGTATGAAGTTTCCGAAGGAGCCCGGCTCCATTTTATCAAATTTGAAACAAAGTACATTGAACATTGTCTGGACTTTGTTCGAGCAAATCTTATCCAAAGTAAAGATAAAATGGCTGGAAAAACTATTAAAGCAACAGGCATCGGCACATTCAGATATGCTGATTTGCTTCAAGATAAACTAGGCTTGTCAGTCGACAAAGAAGATGAAATTGACTGCCTCATTAAAGGTTGCAATTTTCTTCTGAAAAATATTTCAAATGAAGCTTTTACATACCATCGCCATGGGGAGCCCGAGTATGTGTTTCAGTCTGCTGATCCTAACATATTCCCTTACATGTTGGTAAATATTGGTTCTGGAGTGAGTATTATGAAGGTTGAAAGTGAGCATTGTCATGAAAGAATTGGTGGTACAGCAACTGGGGGAGGAACGTTTTGGGGATTGGGTTCATTACTTACTTCAGCCAAGGGCTTTGATGAGTTGTTAGATCTGGCTGAGAAAGGAGACCATCGAAATGTTGATGTGTTGGTTGGAGATCTGTCTGGTTCAGATTATGAAAAGTTTGGATTGTCTGGTGATTTGATTGCCTCAGCTTTTGGAAAAGCAATGAACTGTAATAATGCATCAAATGAAAAATGCAAGTCACAATTTGCTGAGGCTGACATCGCCAAAAGTTTGCTCTTTACAATCAGCAATGACATTGGGCAAATAGCTTGTTTGTATGCAATGATGCATAATCTGAAAAAGGTGAGATTTTTTTCCCCTCCTCCTTACATTTACAATTTTTCTATTACACTGATCTTTGATTGTTGCACAAGAATGAGTTTTCAGTCATCTTCATCTCAGCTCATATGTGTAGGTTTACTTTGGTGGACACTTCTTGCGGAATCATCCTCTTAGTATGCACACTGTCAGTTTCGCCATCAATTACTGGAGCCGAGGTCAAGTTCAATCTCTATTCCTGCGTCATGAGGGGTACCTTGGAGCAATTGGTGCCTTCTTGAAAGGAGCCGAGGAATGTGGTGAGGATTTTTAATTTTCTTTATTGTAAAATTCAATTGCATACTTTCACACTGTGACTTTTCTTTTCTTTTTATAATTTCAGATACTGACAAATATTCTTGGCAAGAAAATTATGATGGCAGTTCTGGCTTGCAGGGAACTGTAGTAACTCCTTTACTGGCAGGCCTGCCTGTCAGCCAGTTGGAAATTGATCGTTGGGAGTCAGCAGTTGGATTCTTTCCCTTACTTGCGGATCCAGCCGACTATACGCCTGACACGGTAAATCTCACGCAAGACAATGACGCTAGGTAAACAATTTTGTTGAAATATTGCAAGTGAAAAAGAAGGAAAAACTGATGAACTGACTTTCTAACCTGTTTTACTTTCTTAACAATCTAGACATTACTGGCTTGATAGTTTTGAGACATCTGTAGATAAGTATGTTCAGAGAGCAGTCTTAAGCCAACCTGATTCAGAAACAGCTGAGGAAAGAGGGCAAAAGTTTAAAGATAAGTTTGTAGCCCGAATTCAGTATTTAAGAACCCATCCATTGTGAGTAATGACATTTAAATTAAACTGCTTTCTCACCATCAAGAGAAGATGATAAGCTAATTGATAAACTAATTTTTCCAGTGCTTATGGCAGTCTAACTGTAAGAAGTCTTTTAGATACCATAGAACACTGTCTGCGTGAGCTAGATTTCCCAGACCCCTATTTATTGGTATGCAACCCAAACTATCTAACTTTTGTTCTGATTCTAATATCTGAAAGAGTTTTTCTTATGCTTTGCTTTACCTGTGTCAATACATTTGCAGCAAAAGCAGTCTGAAAATGAAACAGCTCTTAATGAGTTATCTACCAGATTTTCTGACTTGGATAAACTCTCTGGCTCAGAGCTCCATGAAGTACTTGTCACATCAATACTTGCGGGTAACATGTTCGACTGGGGTGCTGCTGAGTCCGTCAAACTTATTGACAAGGGTTCTTTTGGCATGAAAGAGGCCCTTGGGGCAATTCAGCGTGAGTATTGTGTATTCTTTATTTCCTAGCTTTACACCCTTCTAATTTCTTGGAATAATTCTGGATTTGTCCAAATTTTTACAGCTCGACCATGGTTAATAGATGACCTTGATCTTTGGGTACATCACATGAAAACTAGACCAGCACACAATTGTTGCGCTATTTTTGTAGACAACTGTGGCGTGGATTTGATTCTTGGCATCATACCATTTGCAAGAGAAATGTTGAAAAGGGGCACCCGTGTGTTACTGTGTTCTAATTCAGAGCCAGCTTTAAATGATGTGACTCATACCGAACTCTTAGGAGTTCTTAGTAGAGCTAGTTCTCTATGTCCAGTTATTGCAGGGGCACTCACAACCCAACGTTTAATTGCTGTTCCCACAGCTCAGTCTGGGCCTTGTTTGGATTTCAGGTATAGTATATTCTCAGAGAACCAAAATACAGTTGATTTAATCCAAATGTTACTTCAAAGAAGCTTATCCTTTTTTCAGCCGCGTTAGCATACAATTAATTCAAGCAATGATTCATCACAATGTCGACCTTATAGTTATAGAAGGTATGGGACGAGCTCTTCACACCAATCTACTAGCCAAATTCAAATGTGACTGTCTCAAGTTGGCTGTCATAAAGAATCGCTGGCTAGCTCAACGCTTAGGAGGTGATATATTCTCAGTTCTATGTAAATTTGAACCAATGCCCTCAAACAAGTGTATTCCAGAGGATCAGGGTCGGTATAAAATTGATACAATGCATAAAACAGAAGCAATGGAGGCACGGTAGTTCACCCTCTACAAAATATACACACCCGTGAATCCTTTAGAATGTCTGTGAAACACCAAAGGAGTATATGTTGGTTGTTTTAAAATGAAGAGTGCAGAAAATTCTTCTGTAGCGTAATGAACTTGCCACTGCCATTGTTGGTTATCCCACATAAAATGTTTCCTTTGTTGACATTTATGACCCAGTATTGAATTTACTTAAATTCTTGATGGATTGTGCTTGATTCTGTATACAACACACTTTCAAAAAAGAAAAAAATCAAACAAGATTCAAATCCTGAAAGAAGTTTGACCTGTGTGCCATATATTTTAAAATCCTACGTCACTCATATTTTTTATTGTGATGTACCTACCTTAAGCACTGAGCAGTAATATGTTATTAATAATCTGCTTTTACTTAATAATTGAGATGGTAGGTTAAAATTATCAGTATGAGCATTATCATTTTACATTTAAAACCTTGTTGATCTTCTTCATTTCTCTTTTATGCATTTCATACATTTGCTGTCATCTTGTTCCCTCATTCACTAAAAGAACTTGTTTTTCTAGTTGAAGCACCTAGTTTCACTTCATTATGGTAGTGTTTGTAATCTATTTTTTTTATATCTATCTTATTTTACTTATTTATGGATGTTTCCTCTATTAACTCTGCGTTGATATCTAGTATTTCATTTCCCTAAGATGTGCCATATCTCTCAAATTTGATTCCTTGTTGATTACCTAAACAGTATAAGCTTTAGTTTATACTAAGTTTGTTATTGCTTTGAAGTTGCTGCCAAATAACGAGTGAAGAAAAATAACGTAAATATAGGTGGATAAGCTGAAGCAAGCCATATGGCGCAGCCACATAGTTTTCTCCCTAGAGTTAAGGCATGTGGCTTTTTCTTCAGCTTACTCCAGATTCAACTTGATGAGGCTTTATCTACCCAATGCTATTTTTGTTCTGTTAAGAGTGTTCTGTGGTGCCTATATTTTCAAAATACAAATGGTGCTAATCTAGATACCAAAATTTCTTCTTGTTATATTTGTTTGCCAATGCTGCTCTATGGGTCCAACAGATGAACTCTTGTATATATTTTAGATAAAGTATTAAAATTTTTATATCTGCGGGCACCTTAGACCATTGTATTTGCACTCAAAGCTGGCTGTTTTAGAAAAAGAAAAATGATTGAGTATGATACTTGGATTGCTAGTCTTAAACTAATTCACAATTTGCATCTCAAATTTTTCAAATTAAAAATTCTGAGAGTTCATATTATTTGTTGTAAGACGGATAGGTTTAACAGTCAATTACATTGAAGTAAAGTAACACAACAGCAACTCTATGTGCTAAAAAATTACTAGGGAGCAAAATGTTCAATTAAGTAAATAAAAGACGTGAGGTCAATCTACTTGAAGGATAAATTCAATCTTAAAGATAATTTGATTGGACCACATGGTTCTCCTCATACAAGGTATGCCACTTAATTGAACCATTGTGATACAATTGTTACAAACTATTAATTATATTTAAAAAAAAAGTTACATATTAAATCCTAAATCTTTTCCCATTTTTTCTTCTTCAAAACTCTAATTTTCCTCCCCCCCAACCTAACCCAATCTACACAAAACATCTATCAACTGGAGACAACACCACAAGACTAGAAAAACGAGTAAAAACTGGAGTGATAAAAAAAGACAATCAATAACTTATTGAGCTTGAAATAATAACAATATAAATATATCACATATTACAAAAAGTATATTTTTACTTAAGTTTAATGTTAATAACTAGCTGTGCACAACTTCCTTAGTGAAAACTCATGTATTAACGAGGATTTTCATACTCAATTCCATATGTGTGGTAAAAAGATACCTGAATGAAAAAAACTTACCTCGGACTATAAACTGAAACATGTGCAAAGGAGACGGAAGGGCACTCCATTCCAGAAAGCCAAATAGTGTTCTAAGTTAATAATTAGGAATATAAAAATGCATCAAGCCAATCAAATACAATGCTAATAGGACAAAGATCCAGAGGACAACTTTTGTACAAAAGTTTTACCCAGTTGGGGTAGAAAAGAGTAAAGACACTATACTCTTACATCAGCTAATATAAAATATGCCAAGACCACTGTTTTCAGAAAACTTAAGTGAGAACCTTTGGTTAATCTTTGTACTAATCCTCATTGAACATACAAACATGATACTTCTTAACTACATGGAAACTCAATGCTGTATTTAGTAAAGAATTAAAAAAAAATGTATTGAGCACATACTAATTCCTTTGTGTAAAGATTCTTACAGAGAGAAAACTTGAGACTTAAATAAGTGGAATGTTATGTTTGCAAGGACCTCAACAAATAATAGGTACCATACTCACAGAATTTTGCAGACAAAAATGGAAAGTAGAAGGCTCGGAAAAACTTTCCTGACCTAAAAAAAGAATTGGATGAGTGTGAGTGCACAAGTAAGTGATAAAAGATGGAAGTATGATGAGCATCCAATGTACACATTAGGTCTTACTTTGCAGCATTCAAGAAAGGAAGGCTCTTAACAACAGTCCATGCAGAATTATTACTCGCATAATGTGGCTCAAGAGGAGATTCAGAGCCTAGATAGGCATCAATCAAAAAGTGACATTTTTCTACAGGAAACTGTAACATTTGATGGCAAGTTTAGAAATAGAAAGTAAATCAGTTGATAAGCTTAAGTTTGGAATAATCGAAATTATGACAATCTTACATATCTTGAAGGCTCTTCAAGATTTTGATCATTCATGTTTTTCGGTATGATGGCAGTTGCATTCTGACCACTGCTGAAGGGAGCAGGGAGCTGTCCCTTAAATTCTGATTGAAGGAATCTAAGGTGGAATCTGTAACAATGGAGAATGAAATTTTAAATTAATTTAAAATTATAATCGCAAGGAGAAAGACAAAGTTATAACTGAATGAAATTCTATTGATTACACCCACATACCGGTCATTGGGCAAAAAGAAACTCGAAGGGAACCTATACCACTCTTTACCAACACAAACATTTATATTCCCCTTGGGGAGCTCTCCACTGCTCTCTAAACCACCCAACTCCATCAGAATATCCATGGGAGCGTGATAACCTGTGACAAACTTATTAAGTAAACTCTCAAATCCTAGAATGTTAACCATGCATAAATGCTCAATTAATTTATTATTGTGTACCTTTATGCAGGGAAAGAATGCGTGACACGCCAAGAATAGAACAAATAGCTACGACAAAGACAAAAATAGGAATTGTGTCATTCAGATAGTGCATTTTCTTGCTGTCTGCCTTGTTTTTTTTACGAAATTGTATTAAAAGAGCAAACCACAACTTTTGCAAAGTATCAACAGTCACTGCACCACATAGACAAATGAGAGGATACACTGGAAAAAGAAATCTCTCTTCCTAGAAAAGAAAAGAAGGAATTAATCAGCAATCCGGATCTTATATCAATACAAGATCGATGCAATTAAATGACAACAAATCTACCTTATGTGGCTGCAGGAAGAACACCACACACCATAGGTAAAGTGGCATTAACGACAACCAGAATGGTAGACATGCTGAATGTCTAGGCTGAGATTTGACCACAAATTCTGAAACGAACTTTAAGAGAGGTAAGAACAGTGATTATAGAATTTGAACATAAATATCCAAATAACTAGATACCATTGGTATTAATAATATTTTTAGGAACATACCAAAACAAATGGTGTAAGGATAGCAAATATTGATACAAAATTAAAGTTTAAAAAACAGTTGACAAAATAGAATGACCATGGCTCTGTTCCGTACAAATCTGGTCCATGTGATGAAAACACATTGTATAAGACAATGTTGATGGGCGCAAACACAATGCGACCATAGTACTGAGAGTCCAACCATATCATAATGGGCTATTGAGGAAAGAAATATTTTACAGATTGTGAATTATTTCAAAATCATAAGCTTGAGGAAACTTGTATCAAATAAAGCATTACCACAATTGCCACAGTTGATATGGCACTCCATCGTAAGAATCGAGCTATGTCACCCTTTCTTAGGACTAGGTCAACAGCAATTGGTAATCTGTAAAAGACACCATGTTAGTATATCTGAGAGGTCACTAGCTAAGCCTTTTTTGATCTTGAACTATACGCTAAGAAAATGTATTACCCAATGAGACCTGCAAACGGCCAACTTAAAAATGCAGACAAGGCTGTTGTGAAAATGGCCAACTCATACTTGCGCTGGAACCAAGCTGCCATAGATAGAAGTGTTATATACCTGATGAATTACAAATTATTCTGTTAAAGCATCAAAGAGAGGAAAGAGATTTCTCTGATGTTTTATTTCATGCTACTGAAATTTACACATAACAAACAAATAGATTTAAAAAAGAAGTGTACTTACATTGAAAAAGTGGATGGTAGAAATGCTGAACTCGATATAAACATACCAGCACTTAATAATAGAAAGGCAAGAGTCAAACGACCAATAGCCACTCCAAACTCTCTACAAACTGCCCTGCAGAATATAAATATATTGTTTTGAAAAGAGAATAGTATTTCAAGCTCTGTTACTAGGTAAGATTTAGTTAATTTGCCATTTTTTTTTATTCAGACGAAGGAATGGAATATAGCTTACTTGTAAAAATAGAGTTCACACTGGGCACACACAAAAGCAAAAAGGCATCGTGAAAAGTAAAAAGTAAGCATTCTGTTTGTTTGAAAAAGTTGTGAGTACACCCACGCAGGGAACATGTTCACCATAATATATGTATAGGACCTCAGAGCAAATTCAGGAGAATACTCCCATGTCTGAAATCCTTTCCCATAAAGCATAAAGTGACTCTAAAAATAAAAAAAGAGAGAGTAACATGACTGCAAGAGAGCTTCTGTACTTCAGAAAATGGATGCCAACTCACCGGTTCCCAAAAATTGTATGTCTCGTCACAATCAGAAATATTGCTCCATATTGCAGCACAAAATCGAGCTGTTAACAAGACTTTGAAAGCCATGTCAGCTCGAGGATATACAAGTCCTATCTCTGATGGGTGTGGGGATACTGGAACATCTTCATTTCTAGATGGAGACAAATGCAGAATCACTTAAGAATAAAAGAGTCTCAATTTAACTCCTTTTTAAAAAAATGAAATAAATACGACTTAGAAAAACATAAGACTAGCAAGCGTAAGAACATGGGATAAACTCCGAGCGTTTTATTTAATTAAGGTACTTAAAGTAAATATACTTTTAGTCATCACAACTATCAAAGTGAGGTTAATGCCACGTAAATAATATGATTCTTTCAAAGAATACGTACTTTTGTAGAGGCGTTTTTTTCGCTGCCAGTTTTTTGACATCTTTCTTTGAAAAAGCACTTTGTCGTGAACGCAAAGAAGGGGCCATTGTCGCAAAGTAGAAAGACAACCCCGGCTAAGAAGCCGGTCCGTGGTTGCAGCTCCGCTTCTGCAGCTGTTCAAAAAGCAGCCAGCAGCAGAAGCTGAAGCAGACGCCGCCATCGCGCAGATGACAGTTGGTGTCCGTTCCGTTCCCCGAGTTCCCTCCTTCAAAGCAGTCGCGGGACTGTTTCAAAAGCCTCGCAAGCTTGAAAATAGCCTACGACCAATCGAGTGTCGAGGTTTACTTTTGTTCAAGCAACATATACCTATTTGTGCATTTTGAAGTGCTGGGAACAACACATCAAAAGATGGCGATAACTTTTTTGGAGCTCCTGTAGTGAGTGAGAGGTCGGACGAGTCTTAGTCGCTGTTGGCCAGCTACCGTCCTCCCGTAGGCAACACCGCACCGATTCTTCGCTCTCGGCTGTCGCTTTGGGCTCTCGCATTTAGCTCTTGGCTTTAGCTCTCCTAACTAAATACAGCTCCAAAGTGTCACTCTCCCAGCGACCAAGTTCCGGCTCACCTCTCACTAAATGGAACCCCCAAAAATTTATCGCCATCTTTTGATATGTTGTTCCCAGCACTTCAAAATGCACAAATTGGCATATTTTGTATGAACCCCCCCAAAATATTTCTTTACACATAATTCTTTAGCAGTCAGCGACGAGAGAACAGAGAGCAGAGGATGTTCTGAACTTTTTTGTGTCCCAAAAATAAGTGAAAGTGAGAATAAACATTTTCTTATTTGCTGAACGCTTTATTTAAGCAGTCCACTAAATATTATCAGATATTTAAAGTAAAAGGTATGGAGTGTGAACTTTGGCTGTAGTGTCGGGGTAGTGATGCCTGGAGACAACATATATGTGTTTCCAATCACCGTGAAAAATATCCTCGCGGATCTACAACATTTGTAGTAATTTTTATTTGCAAAATATGTTGTAAATTTGCGACAGCCCATTATCGCTTTTTGATCAATTCCAAGTCGATACGAATAAGTGCTTCTGTAGCTTAAATGTACAATTTGAAATGGCGATTTTTACGACTCGTATCATGGAAAATTTTCCCGTAAACCTACGACTATTTTTCACAGCGATGGGAAACACTTTGATTAACATCGGAAAACTGCCAAATCGTGTGTATTGTATGTTCTGTACTCACTGTTCCGCCGTCGCTTTGGACAAGAACCAACACCGGCTGTCCACTGGCTGTGAGAATACGCACCCCGTAGTCACCCTCTCGCCTCGCCACCTTGTGCCATGGCAATATTTTCCAATAAATTACAGGTTGCCCGTCTTGTTGCCCCCCATAGTTTTCCCTTCACTGCTGCTGAACTGGACGGGCATGTCATAATACGAGAACCAGGGCTTGACGCGCAATGTTCTGGGGCCCGCCGCTGCGAAGCCTGCAGCCTGATGCTCCGTCTCCGGGTGGCCCTGAAGCCAGACGGCCAGCTCCTCGCCCCGCCGCTCGACGACAAACACGTTCTCACCGGCAGGGAAGTCCACCCAGCCAGTTACATTCTTCTGGTTCTGAAAAATAAACATAAAATTAATTTTGTCCTAACTAACGTCCTTAAACTACAAGTATTGCCCTTATTGAGGCTGGATCATCCAAAAAGTACGACCGTCATCGGCCGTTACAAAATTGCTAAGGTCAGCCAATGAAAGGTCTCATAACGCCTTCTAGGTAGGCAACATCTTGTCTGCAGCGCTTGCGTGTACTGCGGGGTGGCCTACCCCGAGTCTCGCAGGCGCCAAGCCCTCGTAATGATGGAATGGATATGAGAAGGAGATGTACAATCTATCAGTACAGACAGATCAGTGTGAAATTTTTTCAATGTCAGCGTCGCCGAACTTACACGGCGCGGGTGACTTTAGTGGTGGCGTATTTCCGAGGGGGCCACTACTCCGGCAATCTTGTGTAGACCCACCCCGGTCAATCTGCGATAATCTTCGACAATCTCTAGGGAA